CCTGCTATGTGTTTCTTAACACCCCATAGTTCCCTTGTCAAAGAATTTATGCACTCTAATTGCTGATTTTCTAATCTGAAGCCCTTATTAGGTGGTACACTCTGGACAGCGAGAACATTATTACCACTGTTGTATCTGCATTGCCAGTGCTTGGTAGATGCTCACGTGTCTGAATGCATGATTCATTAGATGCTATGGGAGTAGATTAGAGGTACGGTGACATTTAAACTGGGCCATCAAAGACAGGTAAAATGGAGCTATGCTGACATAGAGACAGGTATAGGAAATGGCAAATGATTGATTTGAGTATAGAGCAAGAGTTGACAGACTGCAGCCTGTGGACCAGATCTGCCCTGTTTGCTGCCTGTTTTTCTAAATAAAGTTTTAGTGTAACAAAAACTAGGCTTGGCTGGCCAGTTAGCTTAGTTGGTTAGAGCATGGTGTTGATAACACCAAGCACAGTGTTGATAACAGTAAGGTCCAGAGTCCAATCCCTATTACCAACCAGCCACCAAAAAAAGCAGCAACTAGGCTCATTCATTTACATATTGTCTATGACTTTTTTGTTACATCAACACAGTTGAGTGCCACTGAAAAGCCTGCAAAGACCAAAATATTTACTATCTCGCCCTTACCAGTACAGTTTGCCTCCCTGCTATAGAACATAAAGGGAAGAGTAGTAGGGGGTGAAATCTGAAAGGCAAGTAGAGCCATTACAAATACCTGAGAAGACATATGACAAAGAAACATGTAAGAGCTCTACACTGGAAACTACAAGATATTGTTGAGAGAAATTAAAGAGCCAGATCAGTGTGTGTGAAACTTTGGTGCTTCAGAATTAGCTAGAGGGTATATTTAAACACAAACTGACAGGCCCAACCCCTTAAAGTTTCTAAGTTGGTAGATCTGGGATGGGGCCCAAGAATTTGTATTTCTAACAAGTTCCCAGATTCTCCTTCTGCTGCTGCTGTTGCTGCCAGTTCAGGGACCACAGTTTGAGAATCACAAATCTAAGTAAATGAAGGCAATGTTGAGGGTTTGGATCCCTGTACCAGCAAGCCACCAAAAATAAATGAATGAATGCAGGCCTATACTGTGTTTGTGGATTGAAAAAATATTGTAAAAACATCGCTTCACCTCATCTTGAGGAACTTCCATGCAATCACACTGGTAATATGTGTGTGTTTATGTGCTATGGAAATTGACAAGCTGGTACTAAAATTTACGTGGAAATTTAAAAGGGCCAAGGAAAGCTAGCACAGACTTCAAGAAGAACAGCAAAACTAGAGGACTTTACATTACCAGACATGGAGACTTATTATGAAGTTATAATAATTAAAGCAGTATTTTATTGGTATATGGATAGACAAGTAAACAAACAAACAGAAAAGAGAATCCAGAAACAGACCAACAGGTCCTATCATTTGCTGATCCCCTTACAGCAATGGAGACCAGTAGTAGTAAAAGATGGTCTTTTTAATCAGTGGTTCTGGAACAATTTGGAAAAATTGAATCATGACTTCACACCATAAACAAAGCTTCATTCAGGATCAGTGGTAGCACTAAATATGGAAAGTTAAAAGCAATAATGCTTCTAGAATAAAGCATAAGTGAATATCTTCATGAGTAGGTAGTGGTTTCTTAAAGAGGACACAAAAAATTCTAACCGTGAAAGAAAAGATTGATATATTACCATACATCAAAATTAAGGATTAGTTATCAAAAGACACTCATTGAGAGAAAAGGCAAGCCATGATTAAGATATTTGCAATAAATATATGCAGCAGACGATTTGTATCTAGAATATATAAAGAACTCCTACAAATTATTTTTTTAAGACAACCTGATAGGAAAATAGGCAAAAGACTTGAACAGGCACTTCATAAGATGATCTCCAAATTGCCAGTAAGTATTTTGAAAAAAATGCTCAACACCATTAGTCTACATAGAAATGAAATCAAAAATCACAGGGAGATACAGGTTCAGCATCCCTAATCCGAAAATCTGAAATCTGAAATGCTCAAAGATCTGAAACTTTTGAGCACGGACATGACAGTCAGAGGAAATGCTCATTGAAGCATTTTATATTTCGGATTTTTGGATTATGGATGTTCACCAGTATGTATTCTTCAAAAAATACAAAATTCAAAACACTTCTGGTTCCAGGCATTTCAGATAAGGGATGCTCAACCTGTGCTAGTACATTCCTATCATGCAGGGCTGTAGAGCCACCAGCCCCGCTGGCAGGAAGTGTAGATTAGTACAACCACTTTGGAAAACTGGCTGTATCCATCTACCAAAATGTACACATATTTTTGAGCCAGCAGTTGTGCATATCCAGCAGGTACGTGTTGCTCCTCATTCTGCAGTGATCTCTTATCTCTGCTCCCCTCACCCAGGCTGCAGATCTCTCTCCTTTTCTTGTCATCATTCCTCCAGGAGTAGCTAATGTGGCCTTGCTAGTTTGAGATATTTGCGTGTATTCTTGTGTTAACCATCCCAGAAACAAGTGTAGACTATGCTTTCAACTAAAGAAAAGTCTCTAAAATTGCATAGACTATAGGCTCTTTGTGGGCTGGGAGGATTTGAATGCCTCTCAGGTGATGATGGTATGAAGAGCATTACTCTTCACCATATGGATCAGCTCTTAGTCATCTTTGCTTCTACCATGTTTTTTTGTTGTTGTTGTTTTATCAAAGTTCATGCTTATAGAGTCAAATAGTTTTAGAAAGTTGATGGAAAGCATCAGTCCTCCATGAACACCCGCCTCCCCCCTGCCCTGTTTCCTGCTCATTGGAGGCAGCAACTTTTAACACATAACTATTTCTCTGTTATTTACCTTATTTTCCTCCACTATTGACATGTTACTGTATGTTCTGTCAGTAGTTTTTTCTGTGTGTATAGATGAGTAAGCATACATTTAAATCAACTCTTTTTTTTTCCTATAGCATCCTTTTCACTTAACTTTTTAATTCTTTCAAAAACACCATTTTAAATGGCTGTATAATATTCCGTCTGTGAATGTACCATTATTTGTTTACCTGTACCATTACTGTTGGATATTTTGGGTTGTTTTGTGTTTCGTTTGTTTGTTGTCTTGCTACTGTAAATATTAACATAATTAGTATATCTCTGTGTGTTGCTGTAGATAGATTGATAGATAAATGCTTTCTCTTACAGCATTCATTTTTTCTGTAGTTAATAATTGTTTTGGTTTTATTTGGTTGGTTGGTTTTCTGTGTTCCCTCTGGCTTGCTCTGAGCTGACTAGTTGTCAGCTGCACAGCTGGCATCCTGAGAAGTCACTGTTATCCTGGAATTCCCTGCCACTTTCTCATGTGGACTCTCCTATTTCCTCACTCCAATGTCTTCTTTCCTGGTTACTCCTTATTTAGAGGAACAACCACACATCCACACTACCCCACAGTACCTTCCTAAGAAAGGTGGATATGGGAGATCAGTTTTTTAGACTTTGCGTGTCTTTAAAAATCTTTATTCTATTGCAACCTTAATTAATAATTGGGTTATGTATAGAATTCTAGTTCGGAATTTATTCAGAATTTTGAAGGAATTGCTCCATTGTTTTCTGGCTTCCAGTGTTGCTGCTGAGAAGTCTGTTGTTCTGATTCCTGGTCTTTTGTTTATTTAACTTTTTGTGGGGGGCAACTGGCTGGTACAGGGATCAAACCCTGGACCATGGTGTTATCAGCACCACACCCTAACCAACTGAGATAACCAGCCAGCCCTGTTCTTTTTAACTTTTTATTTTGAAATTATTTCAAACACACAGAAAAGTTCTAAGAGTAGTACAGAGAACTCCCACATATACTTCAATCAGATTCATTGATATTTACATTTTTTCCACATTTTACCATTCTGTCTCTTTCTTTCTGTTTCTACACACACACACACACACACACACACACAGGTATGTATATGTATATTTGTTTTTTCTGAACCTTCGAAAGTAGTTGCTACATCATATACATCCCCTCAATATTGAAGTGTGTCTTTCCCAAGAATAAGCACAATTTGTTTTTTCTGAACCTTCTAAAGTAGTTGCTACATCATATACATCCCCTCAATATTGAAGTGTGTCTTTCCCAAGAATAAGAATATTCTCTTACATAACCACAGTGCAGTTATCATATTGATTCCTATTATTTTGTACATGACTTGCTTTTTCACTCTGGAAATCTTTCAGGAGGATGTTTTCTTGATTTTCAATATATTGAAATTTCACAGTGATGTGCCTTGGGATGGGTCTACTTTCTTTTTGTTCATTAGGGTGTACAGCAATGGCCTCTTTCAGTTTGGAAACTCATGTGCATCTGTTTAGGGGCATTTTCTTGAATTATTTTATTTATTTTGGTAATTTATTCTCTGTTTTTTTCTTCCTGTAACTCTCATTATTCAGATGTTGGCCCTCCCAGACTTATCCTCTAATTTTCTTTCTGTTGTACTTTTCTAATTCCTCAACTTTGTCTTCTAGGGTTTTATTTAGTTTTTTATTTTTCCTACTGTCATATTTTTAATTTCTAAGAGCTCATTTTTGTCACAACTTAAAAAAAAAATAACATGTTGTTTATGGATTCAGTATCTCCTGTTAATCTCACCAAGGGTATTGATGATGATAACCTTTTTGAAATTTTCATGACATCACTCTGCACAGTTTGTTTCCTGTAAGTTGCTTTTTTGTCTTTTTGTTTGTTTTTATGTTTCTTTCATGTGAAACGTTTTTCTCAGTTGCTTGGTGGTCATTAGATATCTGCACATACTCAAGAGTACATCATTGAGAAACTGATTAAAAAACATTCTGCCCTGGGATCTGTTGACTGTGATCTTCACCTGTAGAGTGATCATGCTGAGCTAGTTCATTGAGGAGCCCTTGGTGGCAGCATGTTTTGGCTCTTGGATGCTTCGGATTCCCCAAGGAAGACTCTCGCAGTATTGTCTATAGAGGGTATCGCTTTGGCCTGGTCTGCTCCCTGCTGTTTTCAGTATGGCTCTTGACCATCTTCGAAGAGACTCTCGATTCCCTGGAAGACGACTTTGAGGAGCCAGTGCTGTGTGACAGCGGTGTGCACTGCCACTCTCCGCGGCATCTGGGAAACAGCTCTTCCAGCCCCTCTGAACCTGAAGATGTCATCGACTTAGTGCACCCAGCACCTGCCACAGGGGACACTGAGCACCTTCCAGACGTGCCTCAGGCAGCAGGTGAGGAGAGAAACACAAGAGCCCAGACCTTTGACAAACTGCTGGTGTTTGGGACACTGTTGTGCTCTCCTGTGTGTACCCGCTCAGAAGCTGTCAAGGCTCATCGGATTTTTGTGCCTCAGGCAGCAGGTGAGGAGAGAAACACAAGAGCCCAGACCTTTGACAAACTGCTGGTGTTCGGGACACTGTTGTGCTCTCCTGTGTGTACCCGCTCAGAAGCTGTCAAGGCTCATCGGATTTTTATAGGGAGAAGCATCCTCTGGATAGTGTGGTTGTCCAACAAAGGGGAATTCCAAAAGCCCTGGAATACAGAATGAGACTATTAGGGCACTTTTAAAAGGTCGTAGAAAGATTCATATTATCTTCCAATTCTGTTTTTCCATGAAATTTCTGAAGTGCTCTTGCAGATTTTACATAGGAAGGAAGGAGGGAAATTGGAAATTATTTACAGGTAACAATTCTATTCTACAAAGAAAACATATTTCTTTGTATCTTGTGCAAGATTATACCCCCATTTCTGTAGCACGACTTTCCAAGGTTGGAGTATTTGAACTGAAAAGTCAGCTGGTTCAGGAAACGACAGATAGAACAAACCCTGAGCTCAGCCTCTGCTTTGTGCACTTTGCTTGACTCCGAGTGGTGTCGAAGGAGAGGTATGCTTTTGTCTGTTTAGCACTGTGATGGATCTAGAGATGGACAGAGAGAAATTCCTTTCAATTTTTTCTCCTGATTACAAACAATATTGGGAACAAATGTGGGAGAGGGGCTAGGATTGGAAAGGATAAGGAAGAAATAGAAGGGAAAATACTTTTTCTCTGGTAACTAAAATACTGCCATTTGTCATGAGCCTTTAGAAATATATGTGTGTGTGCAAAATTTTTTTTTCAAGCAAAGCTGTGTATTACTCAGAATTTCATATAACTATGGTTATGGATTCCATATAAATATGGAGCTTGGTCTGCAGCCATCTCTTCAAAGAAGAGACTTACTATGAATTTTCCATTTTTATTACACTTCTGCTTTGAAGTATCGTTCCTAAAAGTAATTTGAACCAGCTGATGCTTTTAAAATCTCAGATCACATCGTTGTGCCAAGGCGAGTACTTTTTGAAAACAAGCCATCCCCGCCCATCAATTCACTAACATGATATTTTCATAACAATTCTAAGTGCCTACTCTGTGGCAGGTATTGTGTAAGATTCTAAAGATACAAAGGTAAAAAACACGGCTTACAGTTTTGTAGCAGGAGGCAGGCAAGTCGAGGTGCAGAAAGGTGTCAGGTGACTGTGACTTGTACACGGTCAGAAGGTAGTGAAAGCTCCGAGGCAGGCCTGTTAAATTCTAGAGGAAAGTGGCCAACCACATATCCTTCATCTAGAAAGACCTGCTGCCGTTGATGGCATGTGCCACCCAGCTCTCCAGCCTCAGAGTCCCCTTTACAAAATCCTGATCAGGTAGTGGTTGTTGCCTCCCGTCTCCAGCCTCAGCTTGACAGTGCCTCAGAAGGCTGCTTCGCCAGGATGCTTCCTGGGTGCTGACCGTTCTGACCTGCAGGTCTCTCACCATCAGTGATTTGTTCGTTGTCAGCGTGTGGTCATGAGAATAAACACTATTTTCTATTTCACTAGTCCAGGGAGCAGGGAGACCGAGAGGTTGGCTTACCGCAGGCATTGTGGAAATTGGTGTTATGTCCCTTCAAGACTCTTTTACGTTCAGTAAAAAGGAATGTATGCCTTTACTTATACCTAAGGTGGTAGCTTATGAGGCTTCTCCCTCACTTTTCAGGGGCTGGACCTGTTGGGGAGGAAGATGTTCCTGTCCCTGAATGCAGGAAACAAGATGCTGAGAATTCTCCACCGCCAGACTCCGTATTTCCAGAGGCCTTTCCCCAGCCACCTTCCCTGCCTGGCACGCCAACTCCAGCCCAGCCCTGGAAAGAGCTGCTCCCCCCCACCCCCCCAGCAGAGCACCCAAAACTACCCCGCTCAGTTCCTACTCCTCTTGTTATCGCTCAGAAAATCTCTGAGAAGTTGGCAGGAAACGAAGGCCTTTCGCCCACATCTCCCTCAAAGGAGGGCAGGCCCGGAGAGTGGAAGACACCAACTTCCTCAGCCCCTCGAAATGGAGACCACCTCCTATGGCACAGACACACGGCCCAGCCTGCACCCAAGCTCCACCGCTTCCCCAGCAACATCAGCGTGACCAATGGCCCGGGGAGGGACTTCAACAAGACCATTTCCAAGGCGGCCGTCAGCGTGCAAGAGCGGAAAGCCCAGGTCTTGGCCAACATCAACGGTGTCTCCTTCCTCAGCACGGCCGACGTGGAAGAGTGGTCTCAGAAGCGTGATCTCACAGAGCAGAGGAGAAGCTTCTCTCCGGAGCCGGCAGCACGTGACCCAGTCAGGCCAGGCCTGGGCAGAGAAGCCGAAGGCCCACAGGCAGGAGGGCAGCTGGGGGGCCAGCAGTCCCGGGCCGTGCAGACTGAGCCACCCTCTGCGCTGGCCAACGGCTTCCAGAGCATCCATGACATCCTAAAGAGCGAGCCCAGCCCCTTCGTGTCTTCTGGAAAGACCATCACCTTCCGGCCCAACCCGGCCCTTACCAGCAAACTCGCCCATCAACAGGCCACCACGGGCTTGTCCGAGCACCAGCAGCCCGACTGTGGCCATGGTGGCAGGAGGCGCACAGGCTCCCTCCCTAGGGCTGTTGGCATCAGACCCCAGGGCATCACCGTCCAGTTCTCTGGCCGGGGCTCCACCGAGGAGGCCCGACGGGAGGCCCTGAGGAAGCTCGGACTGCTCAAAGAACACTTGTGACCTAGCCTGGGGCCAGGGAGCTGCAGGGCAGGCAGCCGGCAGAAGGGCTCGCACAGGCTTCTCTTTCCCCTCCCTGAATAGAAGGGGCGAAATGAGGTGTTAGCCCTGACACAGGGCTTGGCTCGCCCACGAATCTAGGAGCTAGTGGGCCTGAAAGAGGCGAGCAGACTTGAAGAGCAGCGGCAACAGTCCCCAGCTGCACCTGCTGAGGGCCAGAGCCCACTCCCGTCCCCTGTAACCAGGAAAGCCTGTCAGCTGCCATGACTTGCAAATGCGACGTCTTTTGGATCTGGGAGGAGGGGTTGGATCTGATTTGTCCTTCTTGAGTCTATAATCTAGCCTTTCATCCCAAGTACATAACAGGAAAGCCAGCTTAGATGTCTTCTACTCAGGATTTCCCCTCCTTTTCTAAGAAAATAAAAAAGAAGTACTTGTTAAATTTTTACAGTGTCTTAATAATACTTTTCTGGTTTTTTTGTTTGTTTTGAAGGGTGAAGGATGGTACTTTAACCCTAGATATGCTTGTTTCTTGATGTAATTTGGTTTGCCCTCTTTTTTAAATTGAAAATTGAAGCGAAACCTTTAGAGTATGATTTATTATAATTTCGAGTTGTGGGAGTAAAACAGAAAGACTGAGTTTGAAAAAGGTGTTAATTTTGAGAAAACAAGTCTCATCAGACTACAAGGTCTGTGTTACTGGGATATATGTGTATGAGCCTGTGTTGTGTGCATATATGTACATAACATATGTTTGACACATGTTAACATTATACACATAGGTATTTGTGTGTGCACGCACATTCATTATTACATAAATATAAACTTCTGAAAACCCTAGTAACTATAGAATGCAAGCGTTTCCTATTCTCTTGGTAGACACAGCCACCTCAACATTGTGATGGATGATATTTCAAGAAATTGTCACTTCCTAACGTGGAAGTCTTTTAAGGACACATCTCCATGATACTTTGGTGACCCAAAAGTGCTTTTTCCTCAACAGTGTGTTCTTCTGTTCCCAATTAAAGTCATATTCCCTGCTTCCAAATAAGCAAAATAGTTTCCTTTTTAGTGAAGAACATTTTAAGAGGTTAATCTCCTTTCATTGATCTCCTAATTTTAGTTTTGCATGTTCCAAGGTAGCTGGTAATCAGAAGGAAACAGAAGATTCTTAAAGATCCCCAGTTGATTCTGTTCCATGAGCAAGATCTCAGGATTTTTTTAAAAGGAAAACGCAGAGAACTAGGTTACACAGCATGAAAAGAACTGGTTTTCTCCCAGACTGAGTCTTACACGCTGAGCTGTGGCCACAAGCATCACTATCAAAACTATTTAAGGCTGGAGTCGTAAACCTCTAAAAATAGAAGAAGTCACGCCCTTCTGTGCCTTTCGGCCAGCCCTGAACAAAGTTTGTTTCTTCCCTGTTGAGAATTACTTAAATTCAAACTTTTAATTGTGCTGTGAAGGGCATTTTTCATAATATTCTGTTTGCCTTGTAAGTTACATAAGATGAATGATTGTAACTTTTTCCCTAGAACTTCAGTATTTAGTGTCTTGTCCTGCTCTTGTTCTCATGAAATAATCTCATGGTTTCTTGATGAGCTTAATTTAAGTAGGTGCTTTTATTTTAAGGCTTTTAAAAGTAGTTACTTTTAATTTTACTCCTGTTTATGCTGGACTTGTTTAAAGGATTGTTATGTTTCCTTTTTACAAAATGACACACCATACACAGTGTTTAATAATAGAGGTCTTGATACGCTAACTTTTTAAATATTCTTTATATATGAGGATTATTTCTTTTTTCTTTATCCTATGATTTCTTTGTGAGTAGGGTGAACTTGACTGTATATTAGTATGTTTGTTTTCACAATAACATTTTTGAAAAATAAACTAGAGTTTTACCTTCAGTACAATCAACTTTGTTTTCATGTTATGTACTATATTCTCAATTACTCTCTTTTAAATGGTTATATCTTTTCCTTCTATTTATTCATAATTTCTTTTATTTATTCATAATTTTATTGACTGTTACTCTGGTCATTTCTTGTGCTCAAACCCTAGTAATTAAAGCCATATGTTTTGTGTGAGGTTCAAATTATAGCTGCTAATGAACTGACCTGTACATGTATGTATTATGTTAACAAAAGATCTAGTTTGCTGAGGGGCATTAGTTTCTTTACTATAACATAACCGTGTGACGTGATGCTCTTGTCACCTGGCTCAAGGTAACTCGAAGGGTCATATTTCAAAGAAAAATTGTAATGAAAAGGAAAGATGGATCCCAAGAGCTCAGGTTTTTTCCAAGTGATGTGTGAAAATCAGTCCCCATTCTTGTGAAGCTCTTTGTCTTAATATTTAAAATAAGGGGAAAAAAATTCTTCTTTGCTTTTAGGAAGGTGTGTACAAATGGCCAAGCTAGAGTCTCATCTGCAGAGGGTAATTTGCAGTTAGCAGTATGACAACATGAGGTATGAGTTTCTTCAAAAAGTTCATGGCAAAATGGAATTAAAAGATAATGCCTCTCAGTGATGAAGAAGCTTCTGGTTTGCCTGACTGTCGTGGACTCCATGTAACTTTAAAGTTAAGGGGAGAAAAAGAAAATGATCCGAAACTCGCACAGTGGAAGAAATGGCCCAGCAAAAAGCGGTCTGCCCTGAAGTACAGCTGACGAGGAAAGAGAGACAGCTTTCACTTAACAGCCTGTGGAAACTTCTTGCTTTGTTTTAGAATGATCCATAATTATCACTGGGGGGAAAATGGGTCTGCAGTGAAAGACCAGCTCTCACTAGAAGTCTCTCCATGGTGGCTACATATCACCCAGGTTTTGTACATTATTTCTTCAGATTTTAAGAATCGAAGCTACTTCTATGGGGGGAAAAAAAGATAAGATGAATCTGCCCATGAGCTTCTGAAGACCCCTTGTGTCTGCTCCAGTTCCTTCCTCCTCCTTATCCCCTTTCTGATACTTGGTTTCTGATGTGCACACTTATCTTCACAAAACAGGCAGAAATCTTAATCCTTGCTCCCCACCCCCATCCCACACCCCAGGTCACACCGTCTCCCAGAAGCTGGTTGAGAAGAAAAGGCGCAGGCAGGAAGCTGAGTCGGGGGGCTGCCCGTCAGGGAATCATGAGTGCGACATCCCCACGGCGTTTCCTAGCAGAGCTACCTGGGCTCCTGCAGCCGGACCCGACTCGGCCACCTGGGCTCTCTGCCCCTTTCGGGACTGCACCAGCTGACCTCTGCCATATGCGAGTACTTCAGAGAGTGTGTGGAGAAGCAGAATTAAGAGAACGTGAATCTCTCCATGAACTTTTTGAAGTGTCCTCCTACAGGATTCTTCACTGCAAGTTCCTAGTGGGCAGCTCCTGCTGTAAGGTGCCTGTTTGAAACTGGCTTTCCAGAAGAGCTTACTGGAGTTGATAAATGAGGCCTATGGAACCCTTAGGATTGACCTTTTTATTTTAAAAAAATCAGAAATAATTTACTCTTATCAAAAAACTTGTAAATGTCGTGCTAATGTTTTTCTAATGGCGAGACCCGTAATGAAGACGTTCCTCTGTGAGTGTGTTTCATCACTGTGACATGGCAAGGTTAATAAACTTTTTTCTCCTAAACTGCTCCCTTGGGTTCTTAAACTTCTGTCATCCGATAATGGTGTTCTCTGAGCAGTAGCCTTGTTTTTCTGTGTTTCTTATTGTCCCCTGCCAGGTCCCCAGCCAGAAGGAAGGGGAGGAGTTGAAGGGAATGTCCACCTGTGAGAGAAGTTTGTGTTTTCATTGCAATGACAAGTTACCAAACAGGTTTTGTGTCTTCTTCTCACAACAAGGCTTTTCCCCTGCTTTAGTGTGGGAACGAGGCCCCATATCCTTCTCTAATCTACTGGTCGGATAGCCCGGCCTTCAGACATCAGAGAAAAGACAAGACAGAGCTGTAAGCTGCCCTGTCCTGGGGAAACTGCAGCTTTTTGTACTTGAATTTGAAAGAGGCATGGCTGGGGGTCCCGCGCACGCCACTGGCCTTCCACTTACCTATCCCCAAGTCCTGCCCTGTGCAGGCTTTTCCTTCGCCCACCAGAATCACGTACTTTCTCCAAGTAAAAGCCCTATGGGGGTGGGGGGGGCATTCCTCTGCAGGAAGAAGGGCCTTAGGACACTTCCCACCTGGACTTTTTAGCACAGAAATAGTCTGCCCAGTCTGCCTCTGTGACAGTGACATTCTTCTAGAAGTTCTCCTTATTCAAAAAAAAAGCAAAACTGACCTACACATCCCAGATTCATAAGACTTAGTTAAGAAAAGCCAGTCACTGCAGACACAAGTAGGCTTCACTCTCCCTCCTGGTTATTGTCCTTGGAGGCAGGTGAGAGGAGGGACACTGACAACCCCAGGAGCCTAAGAGGACTTCCTTCAGGCTTGCAACTCATCATCTGAACTGTGTCAACTTTCTATTCAACAACCAGCTAAAAAAGAGCAATGTGATGACTTCCAGTAATGACCTAAAAAGCCTAAATGGCAACTCGGTATTCTCCAGTCGCTCTGAGGAGCGGGAGGGGACACTGCCCCCAGCGCCTCCAGAATTCCTTCGCAGTCCCCTGGATCTACCTGCTGTGGGTCCCCACCCAGGCCCTTCTGCTCTGGAGTAAACTAGGGTTTGAACGAGGCTGAGTGAGGGGGCTCCTCACCTGCTCCACTGGTCGGGTGTAATGCAGGTTTGTCTAGCTCCCAAGACTGCTTTAGAATCCTTGAAGCCAGCCATTTCCCCACTAAACCTGACTCCTGAGGTTCAGGGAGCATTTGGAAGGTGAAGCCGGTCGATTTCTGGGGGGCCTCTGGGTGCTGGAGCTCCTCGCCATGGGCTAGGAGCACGGTAGGAACCGGTGGGCCAGCTGCTCCTGGATCCAGGGTGTGACCCCCACCCCCACGACCCTCTGCCTGCAGTCAAGGCGGCCGCTGTGGCTGCCCTGCCCTGGCTGTAGGTAAGAGTTCACAGCGGGAAGCTGAGGCCAATGGAATTTAGTCACTGATAAACAGGTCACACTTCATAAACTTTACCCTCAGAGTATTTGTGTATGAAGCAAAGTTGCCAAAGGTAGTAACCCAAATTCTGGAAATACCTGTAAGGGGTAGGGCTGCGTGAACAAGGAATTTATGTGTCAGGCATGCGATGCTTGCGTGTCTGTGCGCGTGTACGTGCGTGTACGTGCGTGTGCACTCGCTCCCAGGGGACTGGTCCGGCCTCGGTCCCTGGCCTCTCTGATTCTGTGTGGTCGTGGCATTGCTTTTATGTGAGTTCACTGGCTTTGAGTGTCGGGACATGCAGCAAGAGTCCAGCCCCTGTTACTAAAGAGGGCTTCAGGTCTCTGTGGCCTTTAGGAAATGACAGAAGTCTTCACACAACCCACTTCCCTGACAAGTTGCTGTGGTGGCCACGCTACAGGCTCCCTGTAGCTTCCAGCGGGTTCTCACAGTGCAGCAATTTCCTGGTCTGTGAAAGCAAATAGATTTTATTCCTTTACTTGACCATTTACTTGGTGTCTAAGAGTTTTGAACTTGGGAAAATAACTTGTGCCTTGTGAAGACAGCTTTCAGGGTAAGGAGGCTTAAGGGCGGGCCTTGCGAGCCCAGAACGCGGTCGTGGCCCAGGCGCCGCATCTTCTGTCGTGCCTGCTAACCTCAGGGCTGGGAGACACTTACCCACGTTTTTCCTAATTCACGATCCATGTGATTGTGAAACTGTTTGTAAGGCCCTTTATTTTTCAGTCTAATGTTAAAGGCCAAGTGCATGGAATTAAATGTTTATAATGGAAAACAGTTGGTGGGAGTGGGGAGGTAAAAGAAAACTATTATTATTGAGACTTGTTTTCCTAATTCTTGAAACTTAGGAGGGGAACCAAGCAGTGCCAGTATGACAACATTCATTCATTCGGCAAATCTTTGTGTCCTTTGCACATTCCAGACACCGAGTGGTGCTAAATATTATCTCCCTATGACTGCTGGCCGGGGGTGGAGGTGGGGGTGGGGGGCTGAAACTGCCCCTCATGGTGGGAAGGAAAGGGGGGACTTCTCTCGCCTTCACCAGGGCTCCTCAGGGTGGTCCCATTGCCCTGCCTGCCTAGGCTGCACAGCCCTGCCTCCCGCGCCCTCTGTGAAGCTACCCACGCTGTGCCAGGGCTAAGCCTCCTCCGTGTCCCCAGGGAGAGGAAGAGTGAGCTCTTGCTGTCTCGTTTCTCTCCAGCCACTTCTTGTCCTCGTCCCCTTCTCCCCGTGGCTCATCCTGGATTTATAGCAATGTTGCAGCTAATAATAGGGACCGGGACTTGTCTGTAGGGATAAGGACAGATGCTGAAGATTGTGTCATTTCAAAACCAGGCTTGGCGGTGGGCAGAGCGGCATCTTTAAAGAGGAAAGGGAGGCAGGTTGTGGCCTGGGCCTGAGCAGGCCCCGAGCAGGGGTGGGGCTCCCTGAACCTGGAGCCTGTGACCTCTGTTTGGGGGATCCTGTGCGAGGGCGGTGGGCAGAGCGGCATCTTTAAAGAGGAAAGGGAGGCAGGTTGTGGCCTGGGCCTGAGCAGGCCCCAAGCAGGGGTGGGGCTCCCTGAACCTGGAGCCTGTGACCTCTGTTTGGGGGATCCTGTGCGAGGTAGGTCTCTCGCCCTCGCCTTAGGCCTGGGTTCTGGAGCTCGGACTTGCCAGCGCCGCTGTGTGCAGGACTCCCACGCACCCCACAGCTGCATGAGCTCACCGGGGATTGCCCAATCTGCTCCTTGGCAGTCCTTTGAAGTCGTGGTTGTTACTGGAAAGGCAACCAGACATCAGTGGAAAGGCCATGGAGCAGCAAGCCAAGGCAGAGCCACCCGGGGCCACCGGCTCAGGGGGAGCTGGGATGAGGCGGCTCATCACCATTTATGTTTCCAGCTGCATCTCCAGTGGGACACAGTCTCAGTGCAAGCCCTGCCATACTTCATCACGATTCTGCCCGTATTTGTAAGTGGCGTTGCTGACATTTTCGTCTCTGTTTTATTGGGATATCTACTAGGACTGAGCATCACCCTGCCTTGGGAGGCTCCGCATCTTCGTCTAATAATATTGCTATTATTCAAAGTATTTTTTATAAATTTCTTCTGGGAATAACTACTTTCAGTGCCAGTTTAGGCCAGATTTTTAAAATCACTGTATTTTTTTATTTTAACCAAAGTTTTTCTCATCTCAATCATCCACCTCATACAGTCTCGATTCCAAGTGACTGTTGCTGTTTCTAAAAATTAGATCTGCCTGATTTCAAAAGCACATTCTGCTGAAAGTGTGCTCTGCTGGATTTCAGATTCCACATTGCAACCTGCAACCTTTACGCAGAGCCTAAAAGAGATGGCCGGAAAGACTGAGTGTGCCGAGCCTGGAAATAAAAATGCCTGGAGAGGGCATGAAAGGCTTACCAGCCTGGTGCTGGATGATTCTGTGTGGCCGCAGAGATGACAGGAATATGCAGACTCTCGTAGCACCTAGTCTGGGGAACGAAAACAGCTGTCCCTGAGGAGGTGTGTGCTCAGGGACGGGCCCAGTGCCCTGGGAGAGGGACCGCCTCAAGGACAACGTGACCCCTTTCAGGACTCAGGTCTGTGAAGGTTCGCATAGAACAGGCTTTGTCCTTATCCCAACCTGAGTTTGAATCCCCGTCCTGCAGTTGTTCCCTGTGGGACTTAACTCCAAGCCTCACTTTCTTCCTCTGAAAGCACTGGGTAAACCGCAAGCCCATGTGGCCAGTGCCCAGCATGTGCCTGTTCACACCTTTCTCACCACTGTCATTGTCATCGTAGCCACCAAGGCCTCGGGGAACTCCTGCCCAGCCTGGGGACTGGCCTGAGCAGGGCTGCAGCAGGAGATGGTCCCCTTCCTACACACGTGGCCAGCGCACCCCAGCCAGGCAGCTGGTATGAGATTTCAGTTCCATTGCTGACTTTCTAGAAACGTGTCCAGGGTTGCTTTTCCTTCTCTGGGGCCGAGCAAGTCTGGCTTCCTGCTCAGAGTCACAGCTTTAGAGGAAGCCATCTGTCCGGCCCGGCCCAGCAACACTGGGGGTTGTGTGGCCATGGGCCCTTTGGTTGCATGCACTGCAGGGTGGCTGGCGCTGGCCCCCCGCCTCATGGTCACACACAGCCTGCTCTGCGTGTCCCTACTTTCAGGAGCCCACCGGGCCTCTTCAGCCAGAGTCTTCAAGGAGGTGGGACGATCCAGGCCCCAATTTCACTGGGACAGTGCCACGACCTCAACAGCATCACCTGCCCCTCCTTGGCGTCAGGGAGAGGGACCCAGAGGCTCTGCCCCCAAGTCACTTTGCCCCAAGGCAGTGTCCCTCCCAGAATAGAAGGCGCCTCTGCCTCCCCGCCCCCAAGAAACAACGTCCTTCTTGAGCCTCCCTCTCAGAATCTCCTGGCTGGAGCTGTCACAGCTTTCCCAGATCTCCAGTGGCACCAGGCACTGGTCATCTTCCGCCTGGGGACGATGAGAGAGACCAGCGCTCCAAAGGAAGACCTGGGCCTAAGATCCCACGTCACCTCTCACTGCTGTGTGCGCTTGACCATGGGGAGGGGTTTTGAAAGACTGCCATTGTGGATGTGCAG